GGAGGCCTCCAGGAGCACCTCCAGCCAGGCGTCAGGGGATATTCCCACCCCTCGTCCCCAGGGCCAAGGCCACATAGCGGGTTCACCAGATGGGAGGGTGGGAGGCCTCGGGGTTCAGGGGCCTCTGCAGCTGTCCAGCTCTTCCAGTTGATGGTTCCACATCTTGGGAGCCGGCTGATTTCATGATGGGCTGGGGGCTTCTCGGGATTCCACAGCCCAAATATCACAAGGGTCCAGGGACTCCAAGACCACCAGGAACATGTGGCACCCACGTCATACCGCAAGACCATGAGGCACGCAGTGAGTTTATGGTCCCCCCAGCTCTTCCCCAGAGGCTCTGCATCCTGTGGGGCCAGAGGAGCCAGGGGCTGGAGACCCTGGTGGGGCTGGTGAGAGGCTGAGTTCCAGCCACGGCCTGACCTGGGACGTGGGGTTCTCCATGGATCCGGAGTTGGGTTTCCTTTCCTGCCCTGGAGGAGACAGAGGCACAGGGACTGGGGCTAGTTCCCGTAGAGCAGGGCTAAGGACAGTGTGTCCGCCAGGAGTGTGGGAAGGGGGAGGTGTAAGGAGCCCTGGACACTGCCCAGTGTTCTGCACTTGGGGAAGGATCTTCAGAGGGCTCTGGAAGAGGGAGGTTTTTAGGGCAACCCAGAGGGACCTGAGCACCTCTGTTCCTCCCATCAGGACAAGGAAGAGCTACGTGTTCAGGGTTTCTCATTAGGTTGGTTTCTTTGGAGCTTGATCGATGGGGTAAGGGGGCACAGGGAAACTCTGGCTCAGGGACCCTCCTTGCCCTGCAGGGCCCTGCTCCCCCAGCCCAGGGGTCCGGCTCACCCCCAGCCCACAGGAGGCATAGGTAGATATCTGCAGTACACACAAGCAAAGCCCTTTGCCCAAGAGGGGTCATCCCACGGCAGAGGTTGGGGCTCAGGCCCAGCCTCATGGGCAAACTGGGCCAGGACCCACTTGGGAGGGCTCAAGGAAGCCTCAAGTCCTGGGGAAGCCCCTCTCTCCAGAAGCCACATCCCCATTGAAATGAGTGCTCCCCCACGAGGAGCTGCAAGACCTCGTCTGACCCAGCCTCCTGAAGGGGTCTGATGACCCTCATGAGAAGGGTCAGTGACTGGGGGACTGAAACCTCAGTGGGCCCAGCTTGAGCCACCAGCCCCAGCTTGGAAGGGTGAGGTCCTCCCACACCTGGTGTCCCCACAGATCTCTCTCGGGCTCACCCTGAGCCTTTGGGACGTGTATTTGTTAGAAGTGGAACAGGTGTTGATGCCAATGGCACTCACTGTCTTTGAGGTTCAGAGGAGTAAGTCCACGTGTGCCCAGTGGGGTCTGGGGAGCACAGGGGTCAGACCCCGACTGGCCCAGTGGCAGCTTCCTCACACTGTCACCATGATCCTCTGCCCTGGCCCAGAGGGAGGTCTGGCTGGGTGGCTGGGCAGGGAACAGTGACATACCCCCTCCTGTAGGAGCCCATCCCCCACATGACCCAGATGAAAGTCAGGAGTGTGGTGAGCACTTCCCTGGGCAGGCTGCCCCCCAGCCACAGCCTCCTGTGCACATCTGGAACCCTAGGGTGGCCACAAAGTGATCCGGCACTCCCCAGTGGGAGGTGGCTGAGGTAGCAATGGGGTATGGGCTCTGACCCCTCCCAGGGAACTCTCCTGGCCTGATGCCCACCCTGTCCCTAAAGCACCTCATGAAGATGTCCAGAGGTGGCCGTGGGCATGTTTTCAGGACCAGTTCTCCCATACCTAGGCCCTGGATGACGATGCAGTTCTCAGACACCCTCGGACCTTTATGAGGAAACTAACAAGGAAGCGTGGGGACCTGCCACCCCCAGATGGGCTGCAGTACCAGGTCCCCTCCCGAGTCACCCTCTGGGGCAGTCAGTAGTCGGGGAGTGCCCGGGACCCCCAACACTGCTACCTGGGGCTTTCTCTTCACCTGTTCTCCCTCCTCTTCCTCCTGGACTCTAACTAAGAAAGTACAATAGGCCCCCTGGTCCTCAGGGCAGGCGCTCAGTGCGTGTGTACTGGACGTGCTGCTCAAGCAGGAGTGGGATGTGGGCAAGACTCTCCAACAAGCCCCCTCCCACTTTCCACCATGTCCCACTCTCCCCCTCAAAGGGCCCTCAAGGGCACTGGAGGAGCCAGATCCATTTGTGGGATCCCCCACCCCTCCCTGCGAGCACTGACAGCCTCAGAGAGCAGCAGAGGGCCCTCACTCCTGAACACCCCTCCAAGGGTGCCAGGACAACAAGCCTTGAGCTAGGGAGACAAGGGAATCTGTGTCCCGAACCACCCCAGAGCGTTTAGGGGGTGGGCACAGGGGGGACCCCTGGACCAGAGCCGGAGCCAAGAGTTCAGCCAGGTGTGGAAACAGTCAGTCCTGGCATGGACTGGGCAGCCCAGGAGGGCAGAGGGGACTCTGTATCTGGGCTCTCTCACCCACCATGGAGACAGGTCCCCATGTGAGGTGGCAAGGGGGCTGGGTGACATCCAAGGCCCCTCCCACCTGAGTTCTGACTGGAGGCTGTATCCCAGGCCCAACAGTCTTGGGATGAGGGCGTGGAGCAGGAAGCCCCCAGTCAGACTGAACCCTGGGGGAGGGCAGTCCCAGAAGCCACCTGCGGTACCCCGACAGCTTCCCACCACAGGAGGCACAGGATCAGCAGCCTGCAGGTGTGTCCTCAGTGTCAGACCACAGGGGCCACACAGAGACCCTGAGGACTCCAAAGACCCAGGCAGGTAGAGCCCGGCCCAGAAAGGACCGCATAGGCTCACTGGAGATGCTGACCACGTCTGTTTTTCTTTCAGCCAAACCCGAGCAAGGGTCCTTGACACCCAGGCCTGTGCTGGCTTCACCTGGCAGGAAGACCCTCTGGCAGGGGGATAGGCAGGCCCCTCCTGGCCACCAACCTGGTTCCAGTGGCCCATTTGGTCAGCTTCCCTGCCATGGGCGCCTTGTCCTTTCACACCCCATCCTGATGGGACTGTCCACGAGGCCAAGGCCCAGTGGCATGAGGAGGCTTCCATGGAACCCAGGGCAGCAGGCCATTCTCTGGGGGCACTGGGGACTCAGGGTGTGCCCAGTCTGGCCCTGGCTCATGGGGGACCTTGGGTTTCCTGGAGGTTCCTCCAGTGGAACTCCATGCCATGGCGTCCTATGAATTTGGATGTGGGGGGCCCTTGTTGCGCCCGTTATGATTTTGAACAGAGCTGCTGCGTCCAAGTCCCTTCCAAATGTGTCCTGGACACATGGGACAGCCTAGGCCAGGAAGTCCATGGCGACCCCAACACCGGGCCCTGCCCAGGCTCATCAGGACTAAAAGGGAGGTCGGGAGATACCCCCACTGCAGCATGGCACCTGTATCTGACCCTCTTGGTGGCCAGTGACTGGTATGTCTGGAAGGAGTCAGTGTGGCACCCCGCAAGCTGCACCACAGCCCCAGACACCTCGGAAAATCCTGTTCAATGGGGAAGCCGGTCCCATCAAGGCCACGAGAGAGAAAGGTGAGCATGACGTCCTCGCAGTCCCGGCCAGCCAGCAGCACGCCTGGGGCCTCTGTCCGCACCTGTGGGACTGTGTGCCCCTCCCAGGGCACAATTCCCAAGCCAAGAGGGGTCTGGCCTAGACCCCAGCCCTGGGAAGAGAGGGGCACCAGGGGTGTGGTGGGCTCCCAGCTGCAGTCAGCATGACCTTGCAGGGGACCCTGGCACTGCGGAGCTCTGCACTGTCACAATTCACCTAGCAGAAGCCGGACGACATCCCGAAGCCTCACAGTCACTGCCGCAGCCGCAGCATGCGCCCCCACCACGTGCCTTCCAGCTGCCAGTGCAGGCTTTCCTGACAGCCCGGTGCCCTGCAGCCCTCGCCTCAGCAGCTCAGACTCGGAAGGTATCTGTGGCTCATGTTCCCAGTGCTCCCACCGAAGAGAATTACTATGGAGGATGTTCTGGGTCCTGAGTTGAGCAAAACGGCACGCCCTGTGGATGGAGCCTGCTTCTTTCCCGTCCCCCACGCCTGCTGGATATGCCCACCGAGCAAGTGGCCTTCAGACGGTCATGGGGACGGGAGAGGCTCAGCATCCTACACGTGCCCTTACCAAGGCTCATCAGGCTGACACCACTGCTGAGTGCCCTATCTGTGGACAAGAGACTCGCACCCAGTCCGTGGGTGGCACAGTTTCCCAGGAGGACCGGCTGGCCCCCTGCTGGCAAGCTGATCACACTGCGGAGGGGGCTGAGATTGGCTTTCACTGCACTGAGTCACAATGTGGACACGGACTTGCTGGCCCTGCAGGGCACACAGCACTGCTTCCGACCAGGGCACCTCATTCACAGCGAGAGACGTGCAGCAGTGTGTTCCCACCTCAGGGCCTTGGCTCTGCCACCTCTACTTGGAATGTTCTCGGTTCCCTCCAGGCTTCTAGAGGCATCTAGGCCAGGGCTCGTGGCTGGATAAGCACCCAAATCCCCACAACTCAAACGAGCTTCTCATCCTTGTTTTATTTGGTGTTAAACTTAAGAAAATGTATTAAGGCCGGGCGCGGTGGCTCATGCCTGTAATCCCAGCACTTTGGGAGGCCGAGGCGGGTGGATCACAAAGTCAGGAGATCGAGACCATCCTGGCTAACACGGTGAAAACCCGTCTCTACTGAAAATACAAACAAATTAGCCACGTGTGGTGACGGGCGCCTGTGGTCCCAGCTACTCAGGAGGCTGAGGCAGGAGAATGGCGTGAACCCGGGAGGCGGAGCTTGTAGTGAGCCCAGATCGTGCCACTGTACAAAAAAAAAAAAAAAAAGAAACAAAATTTATTAAGACATGACTTACCTCCTGGTAAGTGTGCAGCTCAAAAGACATTCACAGATGGAACACACCAGTCCCCAGATCACAAAGCCAACCATGGCCAGCCGCTCCAGTGCCCCCGGGCCCACAACCAGTGTTCTGACTTCTGATGACACCGTGAGCCTGTGTTTTGTACTTTACGCTCATGGAAGGATAACCACCTTCATGTTTTAAAATAAATGTTTCCTTTTGAAATGATTTTAGATACACAGAAAAATTGAAAAGACACTATAGTGTACTCTACACCTTATACCCAGTTGCCCCTAGTAATGACACTTTGCATTACCATGGCACATTTGTCCAAACTAAGACATTTAGGCTGGCTGTGGTGGCTCACACCTGTAATCCCAGCAATTTGAGAGGTTGAGGCAGGAGGTTCAGGTTCACTTGAGCCCAGGAGTTTGAGACCAGCCTGGGCAACACAGGTAGACCCTGTCTCTAGAGAAAAGTGAAAAAAATTAGCCACGCATGGTAGCAGGTGCCTATAGTCCCACCTAATCAGGAGGTTGAGGCAGGAGGATTGCTTGAGCCCAAGAGTTCCAGGAAGCAGTGAGCTATGATCGCACCACTGCACTCCAGCCTAGGTGACAGAGTGAGAAGTCACCTCTTTAAAAAAATTAATTTAACATAGGTGCACTCCTGTTAGCTAAATAATGTTAGCTATTATCTAAGGTTATTAATGCAGTAATTATATTAACACAGTGAAATTTATTCGGATTTCATCCACTTTTGCCTAATTCTTGTACCTGTCCTAGGAGCCCACCTCAGACTCACCCTCTGCCTTTAGGTCACTGCTCCTTAGCTTCCTCCAGAGGCTACAGCCAAACACACATCTGGGCTGAATAGCAGAGTTGATGGCTGCTGGGCTCCAAATCTCTACAGCATGTTACCATACTGAGTACTGCAGGCAGTGGTAACACAATGGTGGCTATTTGTGGGCTGGGCGTGGTGGCTCAAGCCTGTAATCCCAGCACTTTGGGAGGCCAAGGCGACTGGATCACCTGAGGTCAGGAGTTTGAGACCAGCCTGGCCAGCACAGTGAAACCCCATCTCTACTAAAAATACAAAAAATTAGCCGGGCATGGTGGCAGGCACCTGTAATCCCAAATACTTGGGAGGCTGAGGCAGGAGAATCTCTTGAACCTGGGAGGCGGAGGTTGCAGTGAGCCAAGATCGCACCATTGCACTCCAACCTGGGCAACAAGAGTGCAACTCTGTCTCAAACAAACAAACAAACAAACAAAAACAATGGTGGCTATTTGTGTATGTAAACACAGAAAAGGATCATAAAAATACAGTATAAATGATAAAAAATGGTACACCTGGCCAGGTGTAGTGGTTCATACCAACAATCCCAGCACTTTAGGAGGCCATGCTGAGAGGATCACTTGAACCCAGGACTTCTAGACTAGTCTGGGCAACATAAAAAGACCCCATCTCTTTTGAGATATCAATTTTTAGTGATGTGCACCTGTATAGGGCAATTCCATTATAATCTTATGGGACCACCATCCTATGTGCATTCTGGCATGGACTGAAATATCGTTACCTGACACGTGATTGCATAAGTCATCTAGAGATGATTTAAAGTCTACGGGAAGATGTACTTAGGCTGTATGCAAATCTTGCACCATTTTATATCAGGACTTGAGCATCTGTGGATTTTGGTATTTGTGGGAAGTGGTGAAACTGATTCCCCTACACACACCGAGGGACAACTGTAAATCTTTCAGGCCCCATACAAGGCTCAATTCCCTACACCCCCACCCCCAAAGTATTCTAAAGTGTTTGTTTCACTTTACCTGCTCATCCGTTAGCCAGAGGGTTCCATCAACAGCTTGAGCTGTTTCAGAAAGACTTGGGTTCAGGCTGGGTGCAGTGGCTTACGCCTGTAATCTCAGCACTTTGGGAGGCCGAGATGGGCAGATCACCAGGTCAAGAGATTGAGACCATCCTGGCCAACATGGTGAAACCCCATCTCTACTAAAAATACAAAAATTAGCCAGGCATGGTGGCGCACACCTGTAGTCCCAGCTACTCGGGAGCCTAAGGCAGGAGAATTGCTTGAATCCGGGAGGCGGATGTTACAGTGAGCCGAGATCACGCCACTGCACTCCAGCCTGCCAATAGAGCGAGACTCTGTCTCAAAAAAAAAAAAAAAAAGAACTGGGTTCAACCCCATTCAGCCACTTAGTGTGTCACTTTGGGCAAACCATGTAACTTCTCTGAGCCTCAGTGTCCTCATCTGTAAATTGGGCTAATCGTGGTCCTTACCTCGCAGGGCGACTGTGAGGACTAAGTGAGATGAAAGCTGACACCCCGAGCGACACCACTTCTCTCTCCCTCAGACTCAACAGGAAGACGCCTTCACTGCCCAATGCGAAGGTTATGGGGAGGACGTGAGGCCCCAGGGTTCCCCTGTCCCAAGAACATAAACCCTGGATTTTTGCTTCCAGAAACAATCACCTCTAGGATGAGGATGGCTCTCAACTCCCCAGAGCCTGTGCTCCCACCCCACAAAGGTGGCATCTTCAGCAGTGGGGAAGGGGTTGCACTGTGCCAGCCTCACCCTGGCCACTGTCTGCCCTAGTGACTTAGAGCCCAGGTAGGTCCCCAAGCAAAGCAGTGCAGAGTCCGGCCCTAGTCCTGGGCTCCAGGCATCCCGGCCACCCCCACCTGCCCCCACCAGCTGCCTCCATCCCTCAGCCCCTGCTTCCCTCCTTCCCAGCTCAGGATATCTTAGCTCCTTACATGACCCCATCATCTGTCTCCTCGAGGGGAATGCAGCACAAGGGCAGGGAACTCGGTCAGTCTCTGGATGTATCTCCAGTGTCTGTATGCATTTCACCAAACAGAAGACAGCTTTGGAAATGAGAAGAGACCCTCCTGAGGCAGCAGTTCTTAGCTGCCATTTCCCAAGTATTCTTGGCGTGCCAGGCACTAAGCCGGATCATGGACATGAGAGCTCTGGAACTCGTGGGGTGCTGTCACTCATGCACAGGTGGGTTGGCCCAGCCCTGGTGCAGTCACGTAGCTCCCTGCTAGCGGAGCTGAAATTGGAACCCATTCAGTTTGGCTCTTGCACTGCTCAATGGCTCCCCAGCTCCTCTGAGCGAGAGCTAAAGCTTTACAATGCCCTCAGGTCATTGAACCTGGGACTTTTCTCCCTGAGCTGCCTGTCATTCTCCCCTGCTCACACCAGGTCAGATGCAGACTTCCCCTCTGGGCCTGAAGCATACCAATCACGCTTCTGCCTCAGGGCCTTTGCACGAGCCATTCCCACTGCCCAGAAAGCTATCTGCCCAGGTATCTGCTTGACTGACCCATCACCTCCTACAAACCTCGCTCAGATCTTGCCTTGTCAATGAGGACAACCCTGGCCATGCATCTAGAGGGCGTCCAGCACAGAGTATGTGCTCAATACACAGATGAAGAAGGAAGAAGGAAGAAGGAAGGGATGGAGAAGAGAGAGGTGAAGGAAGAGCAGAATGCCCATGGCCATTTTTCTTCCAGTGATAACAGGTAGCAATGAATACCTAAGGGCAATGCACACGGGGCAGAAACGAAGTTCACAAAAGGCCGATATGAGCAGGGTGGGAAAAATGCAGCTCTACTCATCTGTCCTGGTGCAGATTTGGAGACTCCAGATGTGTCACATCTGGGCAGTCCCTTCTCTGCCCCCTCCCCACTGAGCTCTCCTTCCACCTCCAAGCCTGGCCCCTCCTCCAGAGATCCAGGACCACACAGGAGACAGCTGTGCATCTCCCTGGACGTTGGGAAAGGCTGCCAGTGGGGAAGATGCTCAGTGGCCCTTAAAACTCATCTCGGTTTTGCTCCAACTGTGCAGCCCATCCACTGCTGTGAACAGGAAGAGCACTCAAATGACAGCCCAGACACTAGACCCTCTTCCTCTTGACATCTGAACATGTTCCCCATCCCCAGCATTTCCCAGGGTCCTGGGAGAGGGACAGCTGTCTCGTGGATTGTCCTTCTTCATCTGTGTATTGAGCACATACTCTGTGCTGGACGCCCTCTAGATGCATGGCCAAGTGACAAGAGCGACAAGAGCAAAACTCCGTCTCAAAGAAAAAACAAAAATTGTGGGCCAGGCACAGTGGCTCACGCCTATAATCTCAGCACTTTGAGAGGTCGAGACAGGAGGATCACTTGAAGCCAAGAGTTCAAGGCAAGGTCTGAACAAGGTTTGTAGGAGGTGATTGGTCAGCCAAGCAGCTATCTGACCAGAGAGCATTCCGGGCAGTGGGAATGGCTCATGCAAAGGCCCTGAGGCAGGAGCGTGATCCGTATGCTTGAGACCCAGAGGAGAAGTTTGCATCCGGCCTGGTGTGAGCAGGGGAGAGCGGCAGGCAGCTCAGGGAGAGAAGTCCCAGCTTCAAAGGCCTGCAGCTGGTGCAAAGCTCTAGCTGTTACTCGGAGCAGCTGGGGAGCCAGCAGAGGGTCCTGGGCAGAGGAGGGCTCAGCTGTGGCTCGGGCGTTAACAGGCCACATCGCACTGTCGGGAAGGAGAGGAGGACCAGCTGGCTAGTCCGGATAAGTGATGAAGGTGCTCAAACTAGGTAGGAGAAGGCAGGTGGTGAGAAGTGTCACCTCAGCATCACTGTGAAGGTGCCATCTGCATGATTTGCCAGAGGACTGAATGCAGACAGGGTGTGGAGGGAAAAGGAGAGTCCAGTCCACAGGCCCCATGAGCCATGTAGGAGCCAGACTGAATGGGTTTTATTTATTTATTTTTGAGATGGAGTTTCACTCTTGTTGCCCAGGCTGGAGTGCAATTGTGCGATCTCAGCTCACCGCAACCTCCATCTCAAGTGATTCTTCTGCCTCAGCCTCCCAATTTGCTGGGATTACAGGCATATGCCACCACGCCTGGCTAATTTTGTATTTTTAGTAGAGATGGGGCTTCTCCATGTTGGTCAGGCTAGTCTCGAACTCCTGACCTCAGGTGATCCACCTGGCTTGGCCTCCCAAATGTTGGGATTACAGGCATGAGCCACTGTGCCTGGCGCTAAGTGGGTTTTAATTTCAGCTCAGTTAGCAGGGAGCTATATGACTGCACCAGGGCCGAACCACCCAGTCTTTGTGGAGACTGGGTTTTGCCATGTTGCCCAGGCTGGCAAGGAACTTCTGACTTCAAGTGATCCTCCTGCCTCGGCCTCCCAATGTGCTGTGATTGCAGGCATGAGCCACCATGTGCAGTTTAAAACATAATTTTCGACTGGGTGTGGTGGCTCATGCCTGTAATCCCAGCACTTTGGGAGGTCAAGGCAGACTGATCACAAGGTCAGGAGTTCGAGACCAGTCTGACCAACATGGTGAAACCCCGTCTCTACCAAAAATAAGCAAAAATTAGGAGTAGTGGCGTGTGCCTGTAATCTCAGCTACTGAGGAGGCTGAGTCAGGAGAATCGTTTGAACCCGGGAGGCAGAGGTTGCAGTGAGCTAAGATTGCGCCACTGCACTCCAGCCTGGGTGACAGAGTGTGACTCCATTTCAAAAAAAATAAAAAATAAAAAATAAAAATAATTTTTAAGCCTGGGCAACATAGTGAGACCCTATCTCTACAAAAACTTTTACAATTAGCTGGGCATAGTTGTGTGCACCTGTATTCCTAGCTACTTGGGAGGTTGAGGCAGGAGGATGACTTGAGCTCAGGAGTTTGAGGCTCCCGTGAGCTATGGTTGTGCACTGTGCATTGTGGCATGCACCACCAAGCCTGGCTAATTTTTGTATGTTTAATAGGGATAGAGTTTCACCATGTTGCCCAGGCTGATCTAGAACTCCTGGGCGCAAGTGATCCACCTGCTTCGGCCTCCCAAAGTGCTGGGATTACAGGCATGAACTACCGTGCCTGACCAATAATAATTTTTAAATTTTAGCATAATTTCCAATGTATTGAAAAGCTGCAAAGATTGTACAGAGCTGTACACACCACATCCAATTTCCCCTATTGCCAACATGTTACATGACCGTGGAATGTTTGTCGAAACTAAGAAAGCAACATCAGTACATTATTAGTGTCTAAACTCCAGGCTTTATTCAGATTTCACCAGTATTTCTGAAACGTCCTTTTCAAGATGCAATCCAGGATACCTCCATTGTAGCAAGTTTTCATGTCTCTTTAGTCCCCTCTGGCCTGGGACAGTTTTTGTCTCCCCTTGTTTTTCATGATCTTGAGAGTCTGGGGATTGTACGTGGATTTTACGGAATGTTCCTCAGTTTGGATTTGTCCAACGTTTTTCTCATATTTAGACTGGGGTTAGGAGTTTTGGGGTCGGAGACCACAGACATGAAGTACCCTTCTTGTCCCATGGTATCAGAGGTGTCTGCTATCACGTGTGTCCAGTTACTTCTTTAAAAAAACTGTGGGGCCAGGCGCAGCAGCTTACACCTATAATTCCAGCACTTTGGGAGGTCAAGGCGGGCATATTTCCTGAGATCAGGAGTTGGAGACCAGCCTGGCCAACATGGTGAAACCCCATCTCTAATAAACATACAAAATTTAGCTGGGCGTGGTGGCAGGCACCTGTAATCCCAGCTACTCGGGAAGCTGAGTCAGGAGAATCACTTGAACCCGGGAGGCGGAGGTTGCAGGTTGGAGTGAGCTGAGATCGTGCCATTGCACTCCAGCCTGAGTGACAAAAGCAAAAGTCTGTCTCAAAGAAAACAAAACAAAACAAAACAAAACAAAAAAAACCAAAAAAACTGTGGGCCAGGCACAATGGTTCACACCTATAATCTCAGCACTTTGAGACGCTGAGACAGGAGGATCACTTGAAGCCAAGAATTCGAGACCCACCTGGGCAACATAGTGAGACCCTCCATTTCTACAAAAGGTTTTTAAAAAAATTAACCCGGTGAGGTGGCATGAGCCTGTAGTCCCAGCTAATCAGGAGGTTGAGCGGGGAGGGTTGCTGAGGCCGGGAGGTCGAGGCTGCAATGAGCCATGATTGTGTCACTGTACTCCAGCCTGGGCAACAGAGTGAGACCCTGAAGAAAGTAAGACATTGTAGTAAGATATAAATTACCCAGTTACTTTTAAAGTCATATAACACAGGCAACAACGTTTAGCTAAAATTTAATTTTTAAAATTTTTCTTTATTATTTGCACAGTGTATTAGTTTTTTATTGATACTAAATAAATTATCAGAATTTAGTAGTTTAAAGCAACACAAATTCTTTCTCTGTAGGTCAGAAGTTCAACGTGGGTCTCACTGGGTTAAAATCAAGGTGTTGGCAGGAAGGTTTCTTCATGGAGTTTCCATGGAAGGATCACTTTCCTTGCCTGTCCCAGCTTCTAGAGGCTACTGGCATACCTTGGCTCAGGACCCCGTCCTCCCCCTCCAAAGCCAGCAAGGGAGGGTTGAATCCTCACTTCATATCTCTCTGGCCTTCTTCCGTTATCACATCTCTCTAATCCAGCCAGAAGAGGTTCTCCAATTTTTTTTTTTTGAGATGGAGTCTCATTCCTGTCACGTAGGCTGGAGTGCAGTGGTGCGGTCTCAGCTCATTGCAACCTCCATCTCCCAGGTTCAAGCGATTCTCCTTCCTCAGCCTCCTCAGTAGCTGGGATTACAGGCGTGCTCCACCACGCCCAGCTAATTTTTGTATTTGTAGTAGAGATGGGATTTTGCCTTGTTAGCCAGGCTGGTCTCGAACTCCTGACCTCAGGTGATCCACCCGCCTCAGTCTCCCGAAGTGCTGGGATTACAGGTGTGAGCCACTGCGCCTGGTGAGGTTCTCCAACTTTAAGGACTCATGTGATTAGATTGAGCTCACCCACGTACTCCAGAATAATCTCCTTTTCTCAAAATTCATACTCTTGATCACATCGGCAAAGTCCCTTTCGCCCAGTAAGGTGATACATTCACAAGCTTTGGGGATTAGGGTGTGGATGTGTTTGGTGGCTAACTTGGCTACCAGGCATAGGTACCTCTTATTTTTGGAAGTGATACTGTTTCTATTTAGTATAGCAATACCAACTTTCCTTTCAAAGTGCATTTCTTTCATCTGGGCCAGCAGCAGAAATAAAATACAATAGGCTAGATGTGGAGGCTCACGCCTGTAATCCCAGCACTTTGAGAGGCTGAGGCAAGCGGATCACTTGAGGTCAGGAGTTTGAGACCAGCCTGGCCAACATGATGAAACCTTATCTCTACTAAAAAATATATATATATATACACACACACACACACACACACACACACACACACACAAATACAAAAATTAGCCAGGTGTGGTGGCACACGCCTGTAGTCCCAGCTACTTGGGAGGTTGACACAGAAGAATCACTGGAACCCAGGAGGCAGAGGTTGCAGTGAGCTGAGATCACACCACTGCACTCCAGTCTGGGCAACAGAGCAAGACTCCACCTAAAATAACATAATAATAAAATTAAAATAAAGTACACTTCTGGCCAGGCACAGTGGCTCACACCTGTAATCCCAGCACTTTGGGAAGCTGAGGCGGGCAGATCACCTGAAGTCAGGAGTTTGAGACCAGCCTGACCAACATGGAGAAACCCTGTCTCTACTAAAAATACAAAATTAGCCGGGTGTGGTGGTGCATGCTTGTAATCCCAGCTACTAGGGAGGTTGAGGCAGGAGAATGACTCGAACCTGGGAGGTGGAGGTTTCGGTGAACTGAGATCGTGCCATTGCACTCCAGTCTGGGCAAGAAGAGCAAAACTCCGTCTCAAAATACCTACATACATACATACATACATACATACAAACAATAAAGTGCACTTCTTTTTCTTTTTCTTTTTTTTTTTCTTTCTTCTTTTTTTTTTTGAGACGGAGTCTCGCTCTGTCACCTAGGCTGGAGTGCAGTGGTGCAAACTCAGCTCACTGCAAGCTCCACCTCCCAGGTTCACGCCATTCTCTTACCTCAGCCTCTGGAGTAGCTGGGACGACAGGTGCCCGCCACCTCGCCCGGCTAATTTTTTGTAGTGGAGACGGGGTTTCACCATGTTACCAAAGATGATCTTGATCTCCTGACCTTGTGATCCACCCACCTTG